CTAAGTTGTGAAAACAAGTTTATACAACTTATATAAAACGAAAAGACACCGCAACTATACTAAGGTCCACACAATCTTGGTATTTACACCTTCAATATTAATTTAAGCCTATCTAGCTTGCGCTGGCTTCCTATATATGGGGCGAGACAAGAAAGTTCAGCACGGATTCATCGGAGTCCGGTGAAGCCAATTAACAAATACTATCCGATCAACTTTCCTTCCGAATAAATGTTCGAGTCACATTAAATCACAAAGCGACCCTTCAGTACACAGCTTCTCTTAATACTTACTAAGTAATAAAGGATATCAATTTTTTTGGCATTCTTTATCCTATACTAAGATTAAAGATCGGATAGCCAGGCAAGTTAGTCACAATCCTTTTTGCAAAATCTGTTCTTGATACAGAAATAGATCTATTATTGTGTTTATAACTAGGTTCTCAAGACTACCGGTAGATCAAAAATCTTTATCTTCTTGTACTACTTGACCAATTTTGCAAGATAATTGCAAGCCAGATGAAGTAGACATATTTGCTTAATTTGCAGATACCAAAATTGAGAAAAAATTGTAAAGTTCCCTTTATTAATTATAATTAAGAGCAGACATAGACAAATCATATTCATGAACTAATTTGGATGAATTCCTGAAATTAAACATAATGAAAGTTATAGAGTAGAGATTTTCAGCAAGGGTGAATACATGAAGGTAAACTAAAGGGTTGTTATGGAAAAATAGTAATTCTGTCCAAAACATCATTGGTGGTATCTACTAAAGAAGTCGTTTGAAAAAACGTGCGAAGTAGAGTGAAATTGAAGTAGAATATAATAGTAAAAATCATAAGTTTCTAAGAGAGTGAAATTACTGGCCGTTATCCTAATCACGTATAAGCTCCAAATAACAACTGGGAAACTTAAACAAAATTATCAAATAGTAGTGAGGGCATACAAAGGGGGAGAGATGATAGTTGTAGATAGTACAGACTATGCTGGAAAGATGCTTCAGGAATTAGATTGTGAAACATAGGCCGTGAAGGCTAGTTGCGAAGTGGATAGCGATTTCCATTCTTGAACGAGATGCTGGACACCCAAATGCTTATTGTCTGCCCAACATTCATAAAGGTGCTTTACTCAGGACTAGAATAGATAATAGGGGTTGTGTGATGCACAAAACATCGCGATTTATTCATACTTAATTAAAGTAAATTTTCAAAACATAAGTTTTTAATAAGTAATTCCAGGGACTTTGTAGACATATTGGATTAATAGCCGATAAAAAGCAGTAATTCGCTTATAAATTTCGATGTGGTGTTTATGTATACTAATATTCTGGAAAATAAGCAATACAGGCTTTAGAGCTAGAGTTTGGCAACAATTCAATCATTAGAGTGAATAATTTATTCCTCAACAGTACATTTTTATCGAAGGTATGAAGACCAAAGTGGTGTGGCCTTTGGTATGGTCGCAGCCTCCTTTCGTTGGATAGAAGTTGTTTGATTTTGTTTTTACAACTTGGTCATATTGGCAGGAAGGCCCAGAGGAACGCAACTTTTCCGAAGCCCATAGCATGCATGATAATTTGCAGAGTTGGTATATGGACTTGGTACTAAAGATGGCGAGTCTCACTGACGATGTAGGCAAAACTTCTGAGAATGTACCAAATCCACGGTCTGGCCCCTGAAATTATCATGCATACTATGGACTCCGGATAAGATGCGTTCCTTTAGATGTTGCGAAAACAAGGTCAAACAACTTCATTAGATTTTTACCTTCAATAGTAAGGTGTATGCGAAAGCAAAAGAGTTATCTATGAGATTTTGTTTAATAACTATGTAGCTCAAATGGAAACTCTAGTTCCAAAGTTCATGTATTTATAGATCTAAAAGGTGGTTTGAAAACACAGTTAGGTTAATAGAAGATATGAAGACCAAGATGGTATGCCCTTTGGTAATGTCGCAGTGCCCTTTCAATGTATTGATGTGGGCTACCCTGGTTTTCGAACCTTGGTCGTGTTATCAGGAGGACTTATTAGGACGCATCTTGTCCAAAGTCCTCTTCTATAGTAGATATCATAATTCCCAGCTTCGGAACGTGACCTGGTATATTCCCAGACGTTCTAGCTTGGTATTGAGAATGGCAGGGCTCACTGGCCGAAGAAATTTCTGGGAATGTACCAAGTACACAGTCCGACGCTGGGAATTATGATATCTCCTATAGGAGAGAACTTCGGTCAAGGTGTGACCAACTCGACCACTTGATAGCATAACCAAGTTGCGAAAATGAGGTCAGCCAATTTCCATACAGTGAGGATAGTTTAAAATTAGTCGAGTTAATGTGGGTTAATGCATAAATGCTTTTTTCTCACATGATAGCTTTCCGCTTTAAAGATGTCTATGACATAGAGACGAAATATGAAAACAGACTCATCGGCGTCGTAGAGCAGTGGGCTGAAGACTGAAGGTTGTATTAGAAACCCTACTAAGATGACAATCTTTATTTGACGGTATTATATGGTCAAAATGAGGGATCACCTCCAGTTCAATACAATTCTTTACCTATTCAGGCAATCTATCAGATAAGCTAATTAATTCAACAAGTATTTTCAGAGAATGGTTTACTTTTGGAAGAACAAAATTCAATATTGTTTTTAATGAAACTACTACACTATCCTACAGAGCTGTACTAGATAAATTGATTACTTTATACTTCCCCACTTTTCTACAACCATGGTTAGTACGACTTACCTTAGGCTAAAGGTTTCTCGACCTAATTCTAATTCCTGAATTCCGGAGCTCCCTATCATGTATCCAACGACTCGTTCTGTCAGTCGCCTCTCCTAACCCGTCATTTATGCCTTGTAACTTAATGAAATCCACATCCTTCAATATTTAAGAAAGGGATTGCCTAAGCCTAGCTTTGCTTCTAATTATTTAGTATAATTTAGTAAGGATAAAATGTCACAAATAAACCTCAGTTCACTCGCGTTGGGGATGCTGATGAGACCCAGGCGAGGGTGGAACTCTAGTCCAGTATAGACAGTCTAATAAACCTCTTGGTAAGCAAGGTTAAGTTGAATTCGATAGCTTCATGAAATCTACTCATATAATTATGGGAAAATTCATTAGTAGTCTTTCATCACGTTAAGCAATCTAGGGTGACTAGAGTTCTTATTCACGACCTATGGGTAACCTTGACAACCTACTCAGAATGAAAGTTTGTTGCTTATCTTCTATTTTGTCTCTTAGTAAGAGGGCCAATCTTAGTAGCCACCAAAGACCTTCATTATTCAGAAATCTCTTCAATCACTTTTCCCATAGTCAGTAATTCGATATTTGTGCTCATTCCAAGTCATCAATTTCTTCACTGACAATTTGGTGCTTAATCTATGCGACCATCATACCTGCACTCGACATTAATATTCAAGATATATTGTGCAAAGTTTAAATAACAAACGTAGACATGAAGACCAAGGTATTGTGGCCCCTATTTTGGTTGTAGTCCCCTTACTGTGTATCGAAATGGTCTGACTTTGGTTTCGAAAGTTGGTCGTATTGTCGTGGCGTCTTATTTGTCCAAAGTCTTCTGCTATATCTGTTATCATAGCTCTCAGCGTCAGACCGTGCATTTGGCACATTCCCAGACGTCACGCCGACATCGTCAATGAGTCTCCATTTTCAGCACCAATCTACAACTCGTCAAAGAGACAAGTGAAGTCAATCTCTTGACCAGCCTTCTGCCGAAACGGTTATGCTATCACTCCTCTTTCTGTCATGGTCCTTCTATCTACGCCTTATCCTCATGTCTCACTCCCACCCTATCACCATTTCTGATTTGTTTATATTACACTCCTCAGGAGATGTGCCCCTTTTGTGGCGTCCTCACACCTACTGTTTTGCCTTGCTCCCTCCCTCTTGGTTTGTTAATCTGACTTGTGTCTCTTATCCTGATTTCCCTCATGAGTCCGTAGATAGAAGGGCCAGGACAGAAAAAGGAGTGATAGCATAACCGTTTCGGCAGAAGGCTAGTCAAGAGATTGACTTCACTTGTCTCTTTGACGAGTTTTAGCTTGGTCCTGAAAATGGCAAGACTCAATTACGATGCTAGCGAGATGTCTGGAAATGTACCAACTCCACGGTCAGGCGATTCGGATTATGATAACTAATATAGCAGAGGACTTCGGACAAAACGCGTCGAACTAAATCGTCCTGACGGTACGACTAAGTTGTGAAAGCGAGGTCAGATCACTAATATAATTTACCTAACTTCAATCTTCCAGATGGTAAAGGGTTCCCAGCCTTAATAGATAATCGCTCAGTGATAATGTATTTAAAACCAAGCACCGAAGAAAAGAGGTCATGGTAAACGATGAATTATTTACTAATAGGAAGTACATTGAGTAAAAATGGAAGCAAACCCAACTATTGCTTAGAGGAAAGTAATTTTAAAATGACATTTTTGTTTGAAATCTTTCGATGAAAAATGAAATTTTCGTGTAATTTTTTCCTTATTTGGTTGCTCTTCCTTACACCATCGAAAGATTTCAAAGCAATATGCAACTTTTAAAAATTACTGTCCTCCAAGCACTATCTGGGGTCGCTTGCATTTTTTTCTCAATTCAATTCCGCTCAGTAAAGAATTCATCGTTTACCGTGGACTCCCTTTTTCGGTTCTGCTCTAAGGGAAAACATACCAGTATGTTGGGGGTACCCGAGGGGTTTGCATTTAAAATACACTATCTTAAAGCAGTTATCGATTAGGGTCGGCAACTTTTGGAACCCATTATCATCTGGAAGCGTGAAGTTATGCATCAAATAAAAAATAACAAGTAAAAATTTTCAGTTTTTTGCTAGAAAACGATCGATTTAATGAGAGTACCACAAACCCAACATCTTTCGCTGAATGCCATTTTTTGTGATGTGTGACAACAGGGTATTCCACCAGATGACAGATATCATTAGCAGTTGCTAACGGGACGACTGAGAATGAGTCTATCGGACTATATCTTTATCGCCAGAGCATATAGAGTGAAGGTACAGAGGAAGTCTTGCTACCAGGACCAGATGTGGGAGCTTGATCCTCATGGTAAAAGCTACTTTGGCCTTCAAGTGGTTTAGCGACCATGGGGCCTTTACATTGTCTTTGGCGGTTTCGGCAGCGAAAAGATCGGCCAGAAGGTTCGCCCTTGACCTCCTCAACGTCCACAACCAACTGGGGTTGTATTTCCTCACAATCAGCCTCCGATTTATCTCCAGTATTTGCTCCTCCGTATTCCTCCTCCTCCCCTCGTTCCTGTCCATCCAGCTCTATCTCCGAACTGCCCCTTTTCTCTCCTTCACCCCTCAACTCATCCAATCTCTCTTCTAACCACTCATAGTCTTGATCTTCCATGTTAACGTCATCATCTTCCTCGTCCTCTTCATCTCCAAGGTCCGGAATACCCTCTGGTGGCATCTCGTCGAGTAAGCCGTCAGGATTTTCGATACGCATCGTTTGTAAAAGTCGTCGCATCAACCGGTTCGTAGAATAGCCATACAAAACAGACTTGTCCGAAACAGGAGCCAGACACTCACGAGCGGAAATGGTCTCTAGGCTATGCAAGCCATCCATCAGCTGGCATCGAATCGCCTCCCATCGACGCATGATTCTGGCATTTCCAGAGGAATAGACTGGCTCTGAAATAGTGTGACCCGAGGGATGATCGGAGGGGAAAGACGCGAGTAGAGGATTGTGCTGCTGCTGCTGCTGCGGAATCAGCAACGACTGCTGGACAGAATGCTCTTCTTCGGAAGTTACGCGTGACTGCATATGAGCTACGGAAACGTCTGTTCTGTTCAGAATACCCAGCGATCGGGCTGGATCTCCTATGGCACTGATTCCTGCGACAGGCCCATCTGGAGAGATGATCGGCATCATCCCTTTGGCTAAGGAGGTAGAATTGAAAGACGGGGAAGTAGGGAGGGGAGAAGAGAGAGGAAGCGGAGGCTTAGTTGATAGTGCTTGAGTCATGCTGGCAGGCAGATCACTGATGGGGTAGCACTGGAGTCTACGGATGAGGCCGTTGACTTCGGCAAATTGAACCAGCCGGAACAGATCGACACGCGGAAGCTGACGATGGCGGGAGCACTTAAGGGACTTGGCGCAGTTGTCCGTAGGAAAGTTTGACTTGACATTATGGAACAGCGATTGAGCAACAGAATAAGGATAAAGAATGAGATGTAACAGAGGCATGTACAAAGAAGCTTAAAAGCGATATGCATCACATTAGCTGTAAAGAATAATGAATAAAAGCGCTATAATGCTATAATGAGAAAACTTAAACATGCATAACAGTAGTGGGACCAAATAAGTGTGCCTTAATTGAAAGGTATTCACATAGGTCATTAGTTAAGGATTAATAAGAGTCTATAAACCTACTTACATTGGAAATAAATAATCTCGTAGATTGCAAAGGGTAGCACAA